AAAATTGCACACCACGGAAAATCATTTTATTTTTGCATTTTTTGGGAGTATTTCTCATATAGGTCAAAAATCACGTGCTTACAGTAAAAAGTTAGGAATTATACCATTCTTCGCCTTTTCTAACATATCGGCAGCAGTTCCAACTTCACTTTCTCGGAAGACTACATCTCTGCTTCTGATGACCTTCTTCTTTACAAGATCCCATAATCTGTACCCGAACGCTTCATCTCCATATCCGATAAATATGCAGGGAACAGATTTATCATGTAGCTTTGTTCTCTGCTCATTTGGTACATGTGCAAAAGCTCTGCAACCAAACACCTTCAAGTGCGAGTAGGACACCTCCTTGTTGGTCCAAACTCTCTCTGGGATGTCAAACACCAACGGATTTGATGGACTCCTATTGATCAGGTAACAGTTTGTCTGAACTGCTTCACCCCAGAATGACTTAGGCAGTTTAGCCATTCTAAGCATGCTTCTCACCTTCTCCACAATGGTTGCGGTTCATCCTCTCGGCTATGCCATTGTGCTGCGGGGTTCCAGGAACTGTCTTTTCATGTCTGATCCCATGACTTGAACAATACTCTTCAAATTCCCTTGAAGTGTACTCACCTCCATTGTCACTTCGAAGACCCTTTAGCTTTTTACCCGTCTCCCTTTCTACTAGAGCATGAAACTTCTGGAAAACATGCAACACCTGATCTTTGGTTTTCAAAGTATAAACCCATAATTTTCGTGAAGCATCATCAATAAAAGTAACAAAATATTTGTTACCGCCCATTGATTCAATTTCCATTGGGCCACAAACATCAGAATATACTAAATCAAGTATATTCAAATTTATTTCAGACGATGTCTGAAATGAGACTATGTTGATTACTAAATAAACAGTAGTCACAAGGTTTTACCGTTGTACCTTTGGCATAAGAAATAAGTGATTTCTTGGCAAGAATCTGCAATCCCTTCTCGCTCATATGACCCATTCTTTTGTGCCACAAATCTACAAAAATCTTATCTTGTGTCGCGTTCAATTGACCTTGGCATATTTCTGCATTTGTCCTGTACAACGTGCCACGAGCAACTCCCTTTGCAATCACCAATGATCCCTTAGTGAGTCTCCACTTTTGATTTGCAAAATAGCTCTCGTATCTATCTCGGTCTAAAGCAATTCCCGAGATCAAGTTCATCCGCAAATCAGGTACATGCCGCACATCATTTAGAACCAATGTGCATCCGGCATTTATCTTGATACAAATGTCACCAATCCCCGCAATCTTTGAGTAACTTGTGTTACCCATTCTCACTGTGCTGAAATCACCTGCTACATATCTGTAAAAAAGATCTCTTACCGGTGTGGCATGGTAAGATGTTGTTGTGTCAACCACCCATTCCGACTCTGGACCTAACAGGTGCATGCATTCCTCTTCCTCATTTATAAAGAGGACAACATTATCATTATTTTGCACCATGGCGGCTGTGTTGTCGTCATTCTTCTGGCCACTGGTTTCACCTTTGCCCTTCCTTGGATTTGGGCAATCTCTTTTGAAGTGACCTGGTTGATCACAGTTGTAGCAATTTCTGGCTCTTGATTTGGATCGGTTCTTTGACTTCCCACGAGCTCCGGATCTACCATAGTTGTTCGAACTCCTTTGATAACTCCTGTCTCTACCTTTTGTGATGAGAGCATGTCCTTGATTTTCAGGCCTCTTTCTCATCTTATCATTGAGTAAAAGAGCCGATGTGACATCTTTCAACTCAATAGTAGTGTTACCGTGCAGGATGGTTGTTGCCAAATTATCGTACGAAGATGGCAACGAGTTCAATAGCAAGATGGCTTTATCTTCTTCCTCGATTTTCACTCCGAGGTTGGAAAGCTGTGTGATTAATCCGTTAAACACATTTAAATGTGACAAAAAATTCATACATTCACCCATGTGTAGGGCATATAACTGCTTCTTCAGGTACAATTTATTTGTCAGCGTTTTAGACATGTATAGGCTTTCCAACCTTGTCCAAATTCCACGTGCAGTGTCTTCATCAATGATGTTATTTACTATATCATCTGATAAGTGTAACTTGATTGCACTAGCAGCTCTTTCATCCAAGTCATCCCAATCCCCAGCTTTCAGGGAATCAGGTGTTTTGGCATCAGCATCTAGTACCTTGTGTAATCCTTGTTGGATGAGCAGATCCCTCATCCTTCTTTGCCATGTTGAGAAATTGTTATCTCCGTTGAATTTTGCTACCTCGTACTTTACTCCGGACATTTTTATTTTTCACCGAGTATAGTACTACTGATAGTGAATGGTATTTTAGTGAACGAGCAGAACCTGTGCTCTGATACCAGTTGTTGGAAATAAACCCCCACAGAAATAATATTCACGGTAATAAAAGCGGAATAATAATGTAGCACCGAGATACGGTAATTAACAAAAATAAAAGAGTAACAACGACATCAAGAATTTTACATGGAAAACCCTTTTAATAAGGTAAAAACCACGGCCCCGAGAGGAACAACTGATATCACTATAGTAAGGAATTTTACACTTTGTAGGTCCGAGTAAAATACTCCAAAGACCACTACAACACTCAAAAGAAATAACCCTCTTTTGATATTTCCACCTCACTACAATATCGCTCACTCTATATTTTCCTCACAGACTATTTTCTTATACCCTGTCTGTGAAACATCACTCTTTCTTTCTCTCTTTGTTGGTGTGAAGAAATGAGAGTTGAAGCTCTCCTTTTATAGCCAAAGCTTTACTCTCTAAAGCCTACAATATTTGACAATTTACACACACTTTTCATAATTCAACAAAGTTGGCTACCAAACCAAAGAAATTCAACAAGGTCGGCTACCAAACCAAACTAATTCAACAAGGTTGGCTACCTAACCAAACCAAGTCAACAAGGTTGACTACCAAACCAAAGGAACTTTTATTAGGCACATGCCTAATACTTCTTTAATGAGATGGAAATCATCAATATTGACATTTAAACGTTACTAAACAAGTTGTTCCCAGACTTCAGGATAGACTAAACCTTAATCTATTGACAGAATTACAATCTGAAACAAATAATATGCTTCTCATTATAACTATTAACATGTTATACAGAGCTGCTCCTCATTAACTGCCTGCTACTTCTTTTTACTCTTTGACTCTGATGTGTTATCTGAATATGCCTTAAGCCTTGCTGCAGATAACTTATACTCAGCTTTTTTCTTTCACCACCTACTTCGCCTCGATTGTTTGCTTGCACCATCTGTTTCACCAGCAAATTTTTCCTTGTTATCAAACTTAGGCTTCTTTTCAGCTTTTGCCACATCTGATATTTTTCCTTTAAGTGTCTTTTTCACTTTCCATTCCTTTTCTCTATAAGGTACTAACTTCTTCAAAGAGACATACTGGTTTAAATCTTTATCCTCAATTGTTAACAACTCCTCTGGTGTTAGCCCAAATCTCTTCGCCTTAACCGGCCTATACTTGAATCTTGTCTTCATGTCACCAATAGTATCCTCATAGTCCAACTTGTAATACTCTTCCATTAGTTGTTCTTTGACTATCTTCATTCTTGTACTAGGCCGCTTTCTCTTCTTCTTCGTCCGCTTACCTTCTTCAGCCGCATCATCATCATCACGAGGTTCATCCACATTGTATCTAAGTAATTCATCTTCCTTGTTAAATTCTGGCTTCTCAAGTTCGACATCATCTTCATCCTTATCACTTCCAAATTCAGGATCCATATAATTTGCCTCATAGTAGGCATCGTCGTAAGCCTTGTTCATCTTTCTGTCATGATCATCCAGATCAAATTCCTCCTCCAAATCATCGACATCAAACAAGCATACCTCGTCCTCTCCCATCCCGGCAGTCTCCTTAATCTTCTCAAGCTTCTCCTTCATCTTTTTCTTCTTCAAGTTCTTTAATCGTTTCAACTCCTCTTTTCTTTCCTCTTCCGCTTGAACCATCCTCTCTTCCTTTCTCTCCCTCTGCAACTTCCTTGCGTTCGCCTTCTTTCTCACCGATCCCTCCACTTTCCTCGAATGTCCCCACACTTGATCACCCCCATTTTCCTCAAATCTAAAATTAAAATCTCTCTCGTAATCCTCTTGCCTCTCAATCTCCTCCTCATCCTTCGAAAACTCCACCTCCTCCACATCCCATTCCTCAAATAATCCTTTAAAAACTTGTCATCCTCCCCAAAAGCCTCATCCCATTTCTTAGCAACTCCATAGGGACCTCCGCGTCATCACCTAACTCATCCCCTCTTTTCTCATTTACTTTCAACTTAAACAAGTCCTCATCATCCTCCTTATCAGCATTCAAAAATTCCTTTCTCAAATCCTCTTGCTCCTCAAAATATGTCTTGACTTTCTTCTCATCTTCTTTTTCGTCGTCTTCTTTATCTCCAAACTCCGGACCCTCCTCCATCAAATGCTTAAAAACTACATCCTTCAAGTACTTCGGCTTTTTCTTTTTCTTCTCGTCCTTAGACTTCTCCTTCGACTCAGAATTTGTTTCAGATTTAGATTCAGAATTGAATAACTTAGCATCTTAATTATTCAAAATTGGATCACCTTTCTTTATCTTAAGAAAAGCATCAATGAACTTTAAATTACTCGAAGGGTTCAAATACTCCTCCTCTTCTTCTTCTTCGTCGTCTTCAGAGGAGTCTTCCTTGTTAGAGTCATCGACGAGGCCTTTCTTCTTCAGCTCTTCCAGCCTTTGCAAGTCCTCTCTCTTCTTATTATGCTCGTATCGACGGGCAAATTCCTCATTGATCTCGATCTTGTCCAACTTCTCGATGTCATCATCATTACCCTCGAATAGCTTCAACCCCATATTTCATTAGTGTTTACAAAGAACTTCAAAATAACAACCTTTCACCAAACTAACAACTCTCACCAAAATAACAGCTTTCACAAGAAAACTACAGAAACTGAAAGGTCACTATTTTGCCTGCAATTCAACATATAAACAGAAAGTTAACATTAACATATAATGAAACCTATCATGTGTTGCATAAAGAAAAACAAATATACTAAAAAAATGCCAATTTGAATCAACAATATAGTTTAAAAGCTCACATTTTTATTCAGATTAAACTCATAACCATCAAGTCTTTGGACCATATGAGAAATAATAGGGAAGAGCATGTGAGAGCAAACACCAAGAGGAAAAAAAATCCAGATTTTTATTCAGTTTAATCACATTTCTCTTTTTTCACCCTTTATATATATCTGAATTCTATGTTGCTCGGACTCTACGAAAATACTAACAGGTGCGTATCGGATCCTCCAAAGGTAGTGCATTTTTGAAGGATCCGACACGGGTGCGACAACATATTTGGAGAGTCCGCACAACATAGACTGAATTAGAGTGAGAGTGTGTGTGTGTGTGTTTTGGAGGGGTAGATTCACATTACTGTCTTCTCAGATACTTCTTTGCAGCAAGTTTCAGAATTTCAGACAGTCATGTTTTGCATAAAAAACAACAAATATACTAAAGAATGTGAAATGGAATCAATAATATAGTAAAGCAAATCACGTTTTTATTCAGTTTAATCTTATAACCAAAGCCAAGTCTTTGAACCATATGAAAAAAAGATCACATTTTTATTCAGTAATAATCACAATTCTCTCTTTTCAACCTTTTTATATGACTCTCTCTGTGTGTGCGCGTGTTCTTTTTCATAGAAGCTTTCATAAATTCAAACTCTTTTTTCCATTCAGTTTACATAATCAAGTTATTAAACAACAACAACAACAACTAACCTAGTAAAATCCTACGAGTGGGGAGTGGGTAGGGTAGTGTGTACGCAAATCCTACGCTTATTGTGTAGAGAGTCTGTTTCCAATAAACCCTAAGACGGAAAAAAAATTGGAAATTGTAAACGAAAAAAGTATATTAAGCAAAGTGCAATATTTTCAGAAGGCAGAAGATATGGAAACACAAATATATTCGAATAAAATTGAGAAAATACATTGTAGGGATCCATAGAGAAAGAAGAAGAGAAACAGGATTTAGAGAGAGAGACTGTGTATATTTTACCTGTGTAGTTGAATTGCGCAGTCAACAGTGTTGTGGTGGTAGTAGAACACACATATAGTATCTCTCCACCTTTAATTAAATTAGATCTGGGGTTCAGGGCAGCCCGGTGATCATGGTATCTTGCATTCATGCATGGTCCAAAGTATATGACATAGATAATTTACCCTAATGCTTGCATAAGGAGTGCTTGCTCGGCCCAAAACCATAACCTCGGGGCGTATCTATACTAGAAAACATGGGGCACATGCACCCATACTCTTGCCAAGTAAAAACAGATTTTTTTGTATAAATTTTTAATTGTTTAATCATATAGAGTAGATGCCACCCACGTTCAAATTTTGGCATTGGTGTGGACACACAATAATATAATATTACATATTTAATTTGTACTTCGTAGCTCTTTTTTGGTTTTAATTCTATTTTTATTCTGTTCTTATTATTTTTTTTATCTCCTTCTCCAAGTATTCATGGGATACAAGAACTTGAGGAGTCAGAGATATAAACTAGTAATTAAGTCCATTGAAATTTATCTTTATCTTGAACCACTATAAATTAATTTTATTTTAAATAGTTTATGTGACGATAAGACCTAAGTTCATGATGAGGCTTGTTTACATATTTTATCCCAAATTATTGCTTAAACATATTTGAATTCCAATCAAATTATTGAATTCTTTTCCAAATTTTTAGGATATAAAATATACTTTTCTTTTTCTGGATAAGCAAGTCACGTATAAAGATGTAACGACCCGGCCGGTCGTTTGAGCTTTTGCACTTTGCTCGCCAGTTCTCGGGCATGACGTGCCCCGTGTGATATATTATGACTTATGTAAATCGTTGGTTTTGGTTTTCAGCGTAATCAGAATGAATTTGGAAGAACAGTTCTCAGTTTGAAGCTTGAAATTTGAAAGGTTTGACCAAGAGTTGACTTGTTTGTATATGATCTCGGATTGGAATTTTTATGATTTGATTAGCTCCATTAGGTGATTTGGGACTTAGGAGCGTGATCGGAATGTATTTTGGAGGTCTGTGGAAGGTTTAGGCTTGAATTGGCGAAATTGAGAATTTGACATTTTCCGGTTGATAGGTGAGATTTTGATATAGAGGTCAGAATAAAATTCTGGAAGTTGCAGTAATTCCGTTGTGTCATTTGGGATGTGTGTGCGAAATTTCAGGTCATTCGAACTTGGTTTGGTCGGGTTTTTGATTGAAAGCGTAATTTAGAAGGTTTTGGAATTCTTAAGCTTGAATCCGATGCAAATTTGGTATTTTGATGTTGTTTTGAGCGTTTCGAAGGTTGGAACAAGTTTGAATGAGGTTATGGGATATGTTAGTATGTTTGGATGAGGTCCCGAGGGCCTTGGGTGAGTTTCGGGTGGTCAATCGGACCATTTCTTGTTTTGAAAAGTTGCAGAAAACTACTGAAGGATTTCAGGAAAATTGGCCTTCGCGTTCAGAAGGGTTAGCTGGTGAGGTTGAAGAATTGGTCTTTGCGATCGCGATGAAGGCTACGCATACGCGAAGGGCTGGAGTCTTGTGCATCGCGTTCACGTGACTCATGCCGTGTTCGCATAGAAGGAAAGTGGTCATCTGGGTTTAAGGTCAAGTTATTCATCGCGTTCACGAGCATTGGGCCGTGTTCGCGTAGTTTAGTATCAAGTGTGTATCGCGTTCGCGAGGCTAGTGCCGGAACGCATAGAGAAATTTTTGGATGGCTGGTTTCATCGCAAACGCGATGATCATCCCGCGTTCGCGAAGAAGGCTTTTAAAGCCTGGGCAGAATGTTTAGCCCTTGTCCGCGATTTTGGAGCTTCTTGAGGGGATTTGGAGAGAGATTCAAGATATAACACCTGGATGTAAGATTTTTGAACTCAATACTTGATTCTTGTGTGAATTCTACCTTATTAATCATGGAAATTAAGCCTAAAATTGAGGAATTACGGCTTGAATTTGAAGAGTGTAAAATTGGGATTTGAAGGGCCATTAGATGTGCGATTTTGATGTTCTTGATATGTATAGACTCGTGAGAGGATGAGGATTTCCTTTGATGCTAATTTTGTCGGATTCCGAGAACGTGTGCCCGGGTGCCGGGTTTGAGCAATTTCGGGATGTTTGATGTAAATTAGATATTTTCGAGTGAGCTTCGTTCCCTTTGCATATTTTAATGATCATGTACTGATTGTGACTAGCTTTGGAGCATCGGGAAGTCGATTCGTGAGGGAAAAGGCATCGCGGGCTAGAGTTTGGATCGGATCGAGGTAAGTAATGATTGTAAATACTGTCCTAAGGGTTTGAAACCCCGGATTACACATCGTTGTGTTACTTTGAGGTGACGTACACGTTAGATGACGAGCATGGAGTTGTGCACCATTGGGGGTTGTGACTTAGTCCGTCCCCGTACGACTGTTAAGTCGCGTATTTGATTTAAAATCTTATGATATTCCATGTTCTAGAGACTGACATTATATTTTTGGGTTGTACACCATGTTTGGGGCATTGTCCCAACCTGCTGAGACCCTTAGGGGCACTTTCACTATTTTTTCTCACTCCATTTGTTTTGAAAGCATATCATCAGTCATGTTTCACTTGTTTATTATTGAAATATGGTTTTATCACTTTATTTCTTAAAAAAGTGAAAACTGTTTGGGCTAAGTTCCATGTTTTACTGATGGTCCGAGTGATCGTAAGGCTGATGACTGAGATAGACTGAGGGTCTGATTGTGAGGCTGATTACTGAGAGAGGTCGAGGCCTGGTTGTGAGGATTATATATTTATGGATCGGGCTGCAAGCCGCAACAATATATATGTATATATGTATATGGATCGGGCTGCACGCCGCAGCGATATATTGGATCGGGCTGCACGCCGCAACGATATAGCGCTTGGACTGTAGGAGCCCCTTCGGAGTCTGCACACCCCCAGTGAGCGCAGTCGACTATATATATGGATCGGGATGCACGCCGCAACGATATATGGATCGGGCTGCACGCCGCAGCGATATATGGTGCCTATTGAGCGTGAGTGCTGAGTATGAGCGCTGATTGGTAAGAGTTGAGTCACGAGTGACTGAGAGGCTAGCCCGAGGGGCGATAGATATATACATACACACGGGTGATGCTTTGCCCGAGGGGCCTGTTTATGAACTTATTGATTTTTACTCCTCTTTAAGTGAGTTTCTATCGAATATGTTGATTTATTTACTGCTTTCACTCATCTTTATACTGAACCTTTGTCGAAAACGTTGATTAAATGTTTAAAACCACTTTTATTTAAGTTGGGGTTTATGAAATATTTAGAATTAAATCACTGATTTGGCTTTTGTTACTTCCACTGAGATTTTTCTTGTTACGAGGTGTTTATGACTCATGTTTTGCCCGAGGGGCTGTTTACAAACTATGTTTTGCCCGAGGGGCTGTTTACGAACTATATTTTGCCCGATGGGCCGATTATGGTTTTCATCTCTTTTATTACAAATGATATTGAACCCATACTGAAATTGTTGGTAGGTATTTTTAAATGATTTTTATCAAAAGTTGGATTTTAAATGAGACGATTGACTCGTATTATGAGTTGGAAGCATGTTGTGCTTATTGAGTTTAACATAAATGTGGATTCATTGTTTCCTACTGCCCAGTCTTTATTTACTCTTATTACTTACTGGGTTGGAGTACTCACATTACTCCTTGCACCTCGTGTGCAGATTCAGGTATTTCGTAACCCGGTAGCGGGTGTTGGTTGCTCAGACCCGGAGTCATCAGAGTTAGCAAGACGCGGAGTCATCAGAGTTAGCAAGGTGGATGCACGACGTTCGCAACACTGTTTCCTTCCTCTCATTTTTATGTATTTAGTACATCTTTAGTCTCTTGTTGTATTCAAAGCGTACCCAATCAAACACATTTTGCACT